GGATGACCGTGGCAGGAGCTCAAAACTGCTTTTTCGGGAAGGTGCCCACTGAAGGATGCAGGCTGGTTAGGAAGGTGTGTGTCTTTGTACAGAAAATAAATTACCTTGAGCTGATAGTTCAAGTGGAGACTCGAAGGCAACCCTATAAGGATTCATTAAGTTTTTCAGATTCTGAAATAGCTGAAAGGGAAACATAATGAGAGTTAGCAGCTGAAAACAAAGATGAACTCCAGGGCACCTGTAACTGCCCATTCTCATTCCCTACTTCTAGAAAACCCTCCATGACATGTCCTTTAAAACACCGAGATCACCAGTAACTAAACAGAGTGCTTTCAATGACTGTTCTCAAAGGCTGCGGTATTTGTCCTGCAGGTCACTCGTCGCTCCTCCTCTGCGCCCTGGGGAAGGCACAGTCCATAGGGTGGTTTGCCTGTTCACAGCCACTCACAGGGTGGGATGGGGGCACGTTTCCACACAGCAGAGGAGGAAGGTTTGGTGTTCAGTGTGACTATGGTCTCCCTGGGCTTGGGTTTACTTGGCAGATATTCCTAGAGGCGACCCAGGAGGCTCTTACCTTCTCCCCATTGGGGTTTCCGAGAACATAGCAGCCCATGATGTGAATGATATTTGGTTCAGGATTGACTTTACTCATCAGCCGGCTCAACCTCTTCCAGAAGCTGGAAGAAACAGGAAAAAACAGAATATATGATTTAAACAAAATAAATCCGTCTCCTCATATGCATGAGTAACCACAAAGATGTGTGCACACAATGCTCAGGTGGGCCCTGAGGCGCATGGTTCCCGGGAAGAGCCATTGGTTCTTGGACTAAGGCAGAGCAGGGGCAGAGCAAGGGCCTGAGGAGCAGGTACAGGTCGTGTAGTAGAGAAGGAGGAGCAGCCCATCGAGCCAAGGAAGCTCCAAGGTGAAGAGAAGGGAGCAAAGTCCACCAGGAATGCTTTTAGACTGACAGTTTTACCTCTTTGTGTAGCAGTTCCCTCCAATTTCCTCTCTCCCATTTCTATCAACAATCACCCTTTCCAAATATGAGTTACCAGTGCACTGGTTCACTCCCAGGGCTCAAAATCAGCTGAGATCAGCTAGTGGGCTGCTGCTTCTGCAGAGCTTGAGAGACAACAGCACACCAGGCTGTTCCATGTTAGCCAGTGCTTGGTACTGCTCAGTCAGCCCCACTTTCCAGTCAGGGACTACTGACCAGCACGCTGCGCCTGAGGGACATGACGTACAACCACCCCCCCGCGCAGTGGGTTAGAGCAGGCTCCTGGGGGGCTCTGACGCCCAGCAGTTCCTCTGCCGGGGGCTGCGACCCGATTTTAGCATCAGCTTTTCTCAGTCTTGCCTCCCAGGCACGTACAGGTTGGATGGAGACATTCACTTCCAAGCATCCACGTTTTCAGCTGCGTCTTCGCAGCTTTCTGAAGGCCTCTGAATTACCAACTTCAGACCAGCCATGCCTGGAACACGCTCAGAAGCGTGTGTGCGCACACGTGCTGAAGAACGTTACTGACAGCGCCTGTGCCAGAGCATGAGAGCGCTGAACAGATGTTGCTTTTAATACTCAGCTCTCACGCCAACAAAAAGCCGTGTAGGAACAGGCTGGTACACATCCTCTCCCCCACAGCGAAGCACCATCAGCCAAGTACGTTTGAGGCAGCAGAAGCGAGCAGGCAGCAAAACAAAGCTCAACTCTCAGCACGGAGAAGCAAAATCGCTTCAGCAACCCCAGCTGACGGGTTGGCATGTTAGCGAAAACCCTCCTCAGGAACGTGCTGGACTTTGAGCAGGCTTTGTGGAGAGAAATTCCATTTCCCCTGCAACGAGGGAGGCAGTTACAGGAGACAGCTGTGGGGGGAACGGTTGGGATTTCTGCCACCAGTCGCCTGCTTAGAAACGCTATCTCAGCCACTTCTGAGCGAGAGGCACGAGGTGCCTGTTCTGGTTTCTGGTCAGCAAAGCCTTTGTTAGGAGAGGAAATACATTTACTTTTTCCTTTTTTGATAGTCTCTAGTCCAGAGAGACACTGAACAGCAGATGAAAGCATAGATCTGCGGTGACCTGTCATGGGGACACACCGCCCCAGGGACGAGCTCAGCAACCCCTGAAGGAGCTGAAAGCTGCTGACAGGTGCCCCCTCAGCCTCCCCTTCCCTCTTCTAGGCCACCTGCCACCAACACCGAGCAAACCAAGCAGAAAAATGCTGAGTCCAGGACACACGGCAGCCACTCACAGGATCAGATCTTCCTCCTTCTCCACTTTGGCAAAAGTGGCAACTTTGTTCTTCAACAAGTACAAGTGGCCAGGACCTCCCTGCAAGAGAGAGAGACAGATGCAAACCACCGGACAGGCCTTGCAGAAGCAAACCCTGCCTGTTCCTTGCCCTGCACAGCCATACCCAGCAGGGCCACGAGGGAGCAGGGCAGAGACGCCAGGCTGGCACAGCTGCCACAACCTCAGGAAATACATTCGGGGAGTACGCTGGGGGTTGGACTCTCGGGTTTTTTACTGTTATGTGCCCACCTCACTCTAGAAAAGCATAATAATAGAAAAAAAATCTTCACTGTGGGTGGTTGCAATGTAATAGGGAAGACGAGAAAGTCCCTTTCATTTGCTGTTGTAGGCAGATGACAATCCGAGCAAAGCAG